TTTCTACCATGCTCACCAACACCCTCACGATCCTCATTTGTCCGTGTCCGAGATCTATACTTCTGTGGATCTCCTGAATCCGTTGGACACTGATGTGCTTCCTGATTGGTATCGGCAATTCAAGATGGGATGGCTTTGCTGCGATCCAAGCAATCCTTCCACACCGACCCCAGTGCAAGTTACTGTACCTTTAAAGTATGCTGTGTCGCATTGTGTCTGGACTCCCTTCGAGATCAATAATCAAGCAATTTTACATGTGCTACCTGTGCCTAAAGTGAGGATTGGTTTCACATGTTGACTTACGGTTATTTATCTACTTATTCACAGACTTTTGAAGGCTCAGGCGGGCGACCTACTATATGAAGTGATAGTAAATGAATTGATTTGGGAAAAGCAGATACACTGATGGTGATACATATACCCATTGATGAATAAAATAAAGAGTTAACACACACACTCTGCCCATAACTATGAGAAAGACCGTCAGGGAAAAACCAAGTCCCCATTACAGGCGTAACCGCACTGTGGCCTGCTTTGGCTCTTACTGGACTTGGGCAGCTAACAAAGTGCTTCTCCTGCACCTTGAGAGCCAAAGCCCACGCTATCGAGTTGCGAGCTCGACGCACCGACGGTCCTGGGTTTCGTGTTGAGCGGGGAAGTGATAAGGATATATAGAATAGGTAACGTCTCGATCCATAAGTCCCTAGAATCTACGTCCGTTCCCCGGAATCTACATCAGCGTAAATATGAAATTAGTGAGCATTGAGAATTCGTCTTGAGGGGAACGTTGAGGTTGAGAAAGTAATTAACAACAATGCGACTGGGGAAGCAGGTGTGGAGACAGCTGAACTCCTGAAGGTTAGTAATTGAGAAAATGCAAGAGACAGAGGAACGATAACTCAGGATCATGAACGAGTTGGCTAAACACATGGTAGGAAGCCCGCCAAAGCAATCTGATTTCCGCAAGTTAGAGAGAGCGCACTCCATGAACGAGTTAGCTCGAGTACATGGAGGCAAAGCGGCAAAAAGGAGCCCTGAAGGTGAGGAAATGCGAAAGACAACTGAACGCTGGACCATGAACGAGTTAGCTCAAATACATGGTAGCAAGGCCGCCGAAACCATGAACGAGTTAGCTCGAGTACATGGAGGCAAAGCGGCAGAAAGGAGCCCTGAAGGTAAGGAAATGTGAGAGACAGCTGAACGCTGGACCATGAACGAGTTAGCTCAAATACATGGTAGCAAGGCCGCCGAAACCAGTCTGATTTCCCCAAATTAGAGAGAGCGCACTCCATGAACGAGTTAGCTCAAGTACATGGAGGCAAAGCGGCAGAAAGGAGCCCTGAAGGTGAGGAAATGCGAAAGACAACTGAACGCTGGACCATGAACGAGTTAGCTCAAATACATGGTAGCAAGGCCGCCGAAACCAGTCTGATTTCCCCAAGTTAGAGAGCGCGCACTCCATGAACGAGTTAGCTCAAATACATGGCGGCAATCAATATCGTCAAAGAAACAGTTTGGATTGCATGAACTAGTTTGCAGAAGTACTACTCAAAGAGACAGCGCGTGGTCCATGAACGAGTTAGCTCTAATTCGCAGTACTAGGAATGTCGGGTCTGCAAGCAAACCATGAATATTGACAATACAAGCAATTGCGAGGAGAAACATACCCTGTGTTCAATGTGTTGTGAATTCGTCTTGAGGGGAACGTCGAGGCTGAGGAAGTAATCAACGACGATGCAACTGGGGAAGCAGGAGTGGACCCATTATACCTTGCCCGTTATCGTCCTAGTCCATGATAGATCCACACGAGTTACGAGCTGAAGGACGACCATCGAGTGCTACACGAGTGTTTACTCACTGCAGCCAGTAGAGACGAACTTGAAGGAAGAAGCGAAGAATATCTTAAACTCTCACGATCATGATCAGTTCTTTGTTTGTTTGGTCTTGGCTTTGTTTGGTCCGGGTTTCGGCCCGTTTCAATAAACAACTCGACATCCTCGACATCGATACCTTCCTCTAATTACATACTTTGACCATGTACTTTGACCATGTACTGCAGCTAACTCGTGCATGGTCTCTCATCTTTCTCATCTATGCTTTGAACTCATTAATAATGCAGCTCTGCCTCACCTCGGGAACCTCTTCACACAATATTCGACTATCCCTGCATGGACTATATGTACGTTCTTCAAATATTATTTCCTTAACTCACTCAGGACTATATAGAGCGCTTTTGTGTTCGATAAAATATCCACGGATGGATTGAACCTTGCTGGACGGAGTCTTCGTGCTCAGTAGGCTGATAGTGAGTTGTCACAATGAACCATATCGGTTCACTCATGGACCTATTTGAATCTGGATAGCCTAAAGAAAAAAGCGAAAAGGGCGAACAAGTGAAGAAGGAAACGAGACCTATACCTCTACCTCGACCGAGCTATCCGAAAGCTACTCATGATTCTCTCGCGATCCGTACAATTGTCGTATCAGGAATCTCTGCGGAAATAGACACGAAAAGTTCGTGAGCCATTCTTCGGAACAGGCTGATACAGGTGCGTTTATTTTATTTTCCTCTTCGTAAATAGTTCTTTTGCATTATCTCAATAACTTCATTCCATAGCCCAAGTCGTATTTGCCACTCCCCAAAACGCACTCGAAGCCGTCACTTAACTTCACGCACACGTATCCAGAGGGAATCTACTCTCGGTCGAACTCAAGAAACGGTTGGATAACATAACCAAATCCATGGTCAATCCAAAACAGGCCTCCCACATCCACCGTTGCTGCTTCTAGTCGTCTAGTCGTGCAGCACGAGGAATATCCCATTCAATACCTCACAGCAGGACCTTCGTGCCTTGTTCCTTCCTTACGGCCCTATCTACTCTATACACATTAATCCTCTCGAAACCAATACCGACGACACTAACGTTACCAACGACGGAGAGGAGCCGTCTCCAACAATCGAATTCTCAACCAAGATCACAATTCCGAACCCGAGGATTCGCGTTCGTTTGGATCCAATTACAGGTGAAGGCCGAAGTAAAGGATATGGATTCCTCGAGCTGAACACCCATGTGCGGACGCTCTCCGTGTTCTCCTTTGGGCGAACAACAACCCGAGTGTTGCCGAACTTTGGGAGGAGTGGTGGAAGGAGGAATTAGTGGCATTGTTACAGGCGGAGAAAATTAGACCGGAGAATGAAAAGGAGGAGTCGAGGATCAAGAGAGTCGAAGGGGAAATCGAGAAACTTGAGAGTGGTGGTGGTGGTGGTACTGTGCCGAAGAAAAGTAGAGGCACGCTGATAGTGGACTTTTCAATTGAGAATGTACAGGTTGTGCGACGAAGAAGGGTGATGCAGGATGAACAGAGGAATGTGCGTAGTATTCCCGTGCTATTCAAACTCTGACGTTAAGTTCTAACTGTGGTGTTCATTTCACAGGCTGATGGGACACAAAAGAGGGATTCAAAGAATGCGACGGCGGTCCCTTCTCAAACTTGAAAAGAGCAGTCCGAAGAATTGGCACCGAGGAAGAAACGCAAGGTTGACAAATGTTGATGACGCGGACAAAGTCGTCGCTCAGACTGATTTGTTGCGAGCAGAAACCGGGTCCAACAGCTTCCCCTCGTCCGAGTCATGGGTGGAGGATGACCTCGCTCATTCGCTCAAGACACTCTAGTTCATTCAAGACCACTATCTCTGAGGCTGGTCCCCTGACTTCCAGTATCATCAATGACAATGACCCCACAGGACCATCCTGTTTCAATAAACGACTCGACATCCTCGACATCGTATATTTCCTTTAATAACTTTGACCATGTACTCCAAACAGAAACATTGTTGAAGTCTATATCTTTTCTCGTTGTAAATGATTGATGCTGATATCAGTGATATCGTTGTTGTTGATATATCTTGAGAGATGTGCACCTCTGAGATGTATCCGATGTCAGGACGTCGGTGATGTCTCGATGTCCCCGATATCGGGTACAAATAATCCAAGCTGGAAAACTTCAAAATTTACTTCATTTTACCTTGAATATTTCAGTAATTTTTCCACAGTATTAATTCAAGTATATCTTGATGATTATGTTTATTTACTCTTGCATAATGCAGTTGAGTATATCCTTCATATACACATTATAATTATTACAGGAAAAATCGGACAAAATAGGAGGAAGTTTGAAACATTGTCTTGAGTTAAGCTGTATGCTTTATGGTCAGAATTTTCCTCAGTATCTGTGAGGCAAATTTCAGAATATATTCCAAATAATCTGAGGTGAGAAACTTGCAGATAAATGACCATAGATGTTAAATAACCCTCTCATAATCACGCAATAGGACCTTGAGATTAACTCGAGTATTTTTCCACACATTCAAGGCATTTAATCTTGTAGTAATCAGGCCTCAATTAATGCAAAAATTCATTGCAGTATATATTGAAACCATGTTTCCGAAATGCTTCCCAGTATTTAATGGTGATATTGACAAAAACTTTTTAATATCCTTCGAATTTAACTAATAAATTGACAGTCAAATATCTTTATCTAATCTACATGATATCTAGGAAATTTCCACGACTGAAAAAGATGCCATCCCCCCAGTGATTCTATTCAACAAGATGTTGCTCAATTCCAACTTTGACAGTAGTTCCTGCCTATTCTTGTTCGGCTACAGGAGTATCCGTGTCAAACGATACAGTTGCTCCGGCGAAAACGAGACTGCTCGAGATAAGGTCTTTACGCTGTCTTTATAATCTGTTGACGTTGTCGTATATCTTGTCTTTCTTGAATCCACAACGGACAAGTCTCGAGATTGGATGAGATAACGGTCTATAACGGTGAGAACGATTCTTAGCTCGAGCAGAAGCACGGAATATTGATCATCCTCTAAATTGGTGAGTTGCACGTTTTTAGTTCCTCTTTCTTTATTGTCAGGGGAACTGATAGCCATTGTGATCTCTTCTCTAATCATGCGGTTACGTCGAACAGCAGTCAAATCATCAGGGTTTTTTTAAGAAGTTGTTTCAAGGACACAAATTTCCAGTCTTCAAACCAGCCTGAAATACCGCGAACCGTTCGACAACATACTGAGATGGCGCTGGGAATCAGCGAGGCTCAGCTCTTGGGCCTTTTCCTCGCCAGTGTCTTCTGGGGGATGTTTCTGATCACTTTCGTTCAAAGCATACGTTATTTATTGTGGGACTTGAAAGGGAATCTCAAGCCACTGTCGATAATCAACTGGCCTCTGCTCATAGTCGCAGCGTTGTTGGCATTCCTATCGACCTTCGACGTCGCGTTAGGGTTGATGCACAATATTGAAGCATTCATATTTTACACAGGTCCAGGGGGATCTGCTGCTCGATTCACGGGGTTAACAGATTGGGTCAACATCTTGAAGGTGAGTACCATAGCTTGATGACAGCTTTCTATCTTCACTCATAGAACTTCAGACATGTAACGTGGTGTTTGGGAAACTCATCAGCGACGGAGTCCTTGTAAAGTCTTTCGAATTGCATGCCATCGAGCTATCATATTGACTGCGGCTTAGGTGTACCGCTGCTGGGTGGTGTATAACAAGAGATGGCTCGTTATCGCGTTTCCGCTTCTTTTATGGCTAGGTTACCTGGGTCTCGCCATTTTTGTGATCTACTTGGAAGCAAGCGCTGATAATCCTCACGTCTTGCTGACGGGCCCAGGCTTGTCGGACCTTACACCCAGCATCACATCTGGATGGACTATGTCACTCGTCAATAACATACTGGCCACTGGTACTAGTTCAAATTCTCTCGATAAACATATCTTTGCTTGACATTCCACTTGTCATCCAGGGTTGATTGTCTATCGCATCTGGCGCGTAGACCAAGAAAATTCAGCGTATGCTGTGCAGAGCGTATCGTCGCGTAGCCGCGCATTTTTTGGTCGAAGTAGCCGAAGGACTAGATTGCAAAACGTTACAAGAATCATCATCGAATCAGGCTTCCTTTATACGACCATCGCATTGATCACCTTCATTACATTTCTGACCGGCAGTAATTCGTTCTATGCAACCTCCGACGCAGTGAGTAGATGCCTACGCCATCTTGTTGTGAATGTGACAGATCGTTTCCCTTTTACCAGGAACTTCAAATCCTCTCAATAGCGTTCAACCTGATCATTATTCGTATAAGTACTCGGCCTGAAGAGAACTACAGTGTACAAACTACTAGGCCACATCACCCATCATTCCCCCTGCGTACATTCACTTCTGTAGCGGAGAGTACTAGTCCAGCTCCAGACGAAATCATAACGAAAAGGACTCTGGAAGTGATGGTCACAAACGAGGAGAACGTGGACGTGGATTATTCGCCAGCACGTTCTCGGGGCGCAATTTCATTCAGATCTGATATGAACAAATCTGGGCATGATGTTGAGAGAAATTCAATTCCGTAGAATGATGGCCAATGGGGCGGTTATGTGGATTATATGTTCGTGTATGAGCTGGGTACAACATTTGTATGGACGTGTCAATGTAATGGTTATTAAATTTCTTGCTACCTTGGTGGAGAAACAAAAACTCATGGGGGTACCGCGGATCGAACGCGGGACCTTCAGAACGGCTAATTATAACTTCAGTCTGCTGCTCTCCCAGCTGAGCTATACCCCCTTAGAGTATCTGGCTACGTCTAGCCACCATATTCTCGCGATTTCTCACAGGTAAATTTAGGTACAACTCTGGCTCTATACTATTCATAGCTATTCATCCGTAATCTCCATATCTAGAGCTTGTGGCTTCACCGTCAAGCTTTGCGCCCAGTTCCCTTCTTCAACCTCCAAAAACGACTCTTGTTGTGGTTTGTTCATACCTGTCCTATATGGGTCGGATTCAATTTGGGTTGATTCATTTGTGCTCTTCGGTGCTGAACTGAATTTGCGTAGTGGGAATGTCTGTGGTGCAGACTGGACGCTTGTACTATGATCATCTGAACCACTGGGATGAGCACTGATGCGAATGATAATAAGATTGAATGCAATGGACAGAATTTGGAGCTCCTGTTGGATCAATGAATTAGCAGTCGAGCGGGGGATCAAGCTAAATACACATGCCGCATCTGAAGTAGGATAGAAAGAGTTGCTTCCAACCACGAAAGTAATGAACGTGATGAAAGCAATGGTGGTATACATTAATCCCGATTCGACAATGATTCGAATGACGTTCTGCAACTTTGTCCTTTGATGCTTCTGTCGACCAAAGAGCCCGCGAGTTCCTTGCAAGGATGAGCCTTGAGTTTGAATGCCAAACAGGGCGTTGGTTTGGTCTACGCGCCAAATACGGTAAACAATAACTCCTGGAAGTGAAGTTTGGTCAAAATCGACGCGAGTTGGAAAAAAGGGATAAGGATGAGCACTAGCCTTACGTACCTGTGGTTATGATATTGTTAGCCAATGACATCGTCCAACCAGCAGTAATACTGGGAGTGAGGCTTGATAATCCTCCAGTGAGCAACACTTTGGGGTTTCCTGCGCTCGCCTCCAGATAAATGACGAATATTCCAGTACCGAGATATCCCATCCACAAGAGTATGGGAAATACAACAACAATGATTCTACGGTCGCACACAGCCCAGCATCTGTATACCTAGCAGTAGGTGGAGGAAAATGAACTCGACAAAAAGGCGATGTTAAAAGTATTTTTGAACTGACCAAGACGCCATCGCTGATTACTTTGCCAAATACGACGTTGCACGTCTGATGGAGGTGAAGAGCAAAGGACGAGACTTGAGCATGATAGAAATCACAAAACTTCATACTACGAACCTTTAAAATATTCACCCAATCTGTTAAACCTGTAAACCTTGCAGCTGAGCCACCGGGGCCGGTGTAGAAGATGAAGGCCTCGATACTGTGCATCAGACCTAGTGAGACATCAAAAGTCGATAACGCCATCAAGAGTAGGGCTACAACAAGCATTGGCCAATTGATTGTCGATGCGCGTTTGAGTCTGCCACCTGGAACATTGAGATCCCAAAGCATACACCGCATTGCTTGGACAAAGGTGATGAGTAACATGCCCCAGAAAACGCTGGCAAGAAACAATCCAAGAATTTGAGCTTCGCTAATCCCCAGAGTGTCTGCCATGGGAATAATAAGAAAGAGACGGAGGAACCTGCTCTGCTTAATCGATGATGAGAGAATTTTAAGGAGCATTCGCTCAGGAGGTCATCCTAGGGTATTGTCCAATCTCCAGTCGTGCAAAGAACAAAGTGGAAAAAAATCATGTTAGCATCAATACTTCTGGATGGAAGTGTAAACAGTTCATATTGCATATGTTAATTATAATGCTGGATAACGTTTGGAGATGAGACAGCGTGGGCATCCACCTTCACTGTGATTCGATACATCAAACAATGTGAATTACATAGTTGAACGGCGGTGTTGAAACTGCTCCCAGAAGACTGAAGGAGGGCGAGAAGAGTCGGATTGCTAACGGGTGACCTAGATGCTGGATTATCGGTATTCGTATAGCAAATATCCAGACCGGGATCTTAATTCAAAACCTTTTTTGAGGGTCCATCGAACACAGGTCCAAGTACTTGAGACGGGAAACGCCACCATTAGGAACATACTGATAAGAGATTCATGTTTACCTAGCAGATTGTCTGCGTAATCTAAGTCGGGGAGTGTTGGAAAAGGCCGAGTACAGAATGATCGAGTTGCCAGAGCACCGTACCCTCCGGTGATAATCAGTACGTCAAAGGGAGGCGCATTGGTGAAATCATGCGAGTGCAATTGATTCCCCAAAGTTTGACCTCACTGGATTCAGAGAAGGGTCTCGAGATTTGGTAGAGAACCGGCTCCAGAGTTTAGGCGATGATGCTAAGATGGATTGGAAAATCTCCAGACAGTAGGTTAAGAACAGGTTAAGAACGTCCAATGGGCCAAACGCATCTAGCGCCTGAATCCGCATTGATCAGTATTCATTTTGATGCAGGGGACTAGCTTACCTAGAACGTCAGGAACACCAACAGCCCAAAATTCACCGGAGGTCCTTATACAAGTACGTTCTCATCTCGGCATTGAAGAAAGAAATCGCAGAATATATCTTCACCTCGAGGTTCTGCGCTTTCATATTTCGTTATCGTGTTGTCCTAAACGGTTGTGGAAAAGACAGAAGAGGTATATAAATAAAATGTATTGGACCTCAGCCTTCTCGTACGGTATCAATAAATGATTGGGTTTGATCTTTGTTTCAGTGTCCTTGGCAATGAGATGCAGATACTTGAAGTTCTTCGAATGTGTGAGGTTCCAAGGGGAGGAACAGGGTTAATGTGCATCTGGTACACAGTGCAAGCACCTAGATGTATCAAACGCCATAAGGATTGTTATCACAAGCGCTTTCCTTGTCCGTAGTTATCATGCACTTTGTTAAGGTTTTATGTTGTTCGAAGGAGGCAACCTACCGGTTCTAAAAACTAGTTGGATCCTTTTTGGTTGGCCAGGTTAGCCTTAGCAAAAATTTGAGAGACAGTGGAGCTTGTGCTTATGCGACGAGGAAGGTTTGAAGCTGAGGAGGTTCACTTGATCTTGGGTTATGCTGTGGGGATAGTAGATCTGTTGGAACAGCGGCAACGCCTCGTTCGGGAATGACACAGTAACTTGTTCAGCTGGGAGACGTACCATGAGGCTTTCTGGAAGTGAAATTGGTTTTACTGATAGACGGATAAGATATCCGTATATGGGAAGAGGTCAAAGGCCGGATAGACGAGCGATGATGGCTACAGCGGAGCGGGCAACAATTGTCAATTATACACGTGAATCCTATCGTATGTACGTTCAATAGAACAACACAGTCGTACTTCCGACTATTGATATGTTATGCATTTGCAATGAGCTGTGCTTGCACCTATACCTATCTACCAAGTCCTTTCCAGCATTCGATTAACGACTACCGGTCTTCCACTCGATGGATGTGCCATATCATTCATCCTTGCCTCTCGCAAGGTATTCAGCATCGAAGACAAGAAGATGGCTGTGACTATACGCCCTTGACCGAACGGCCATGGGTTGATTGGCGAATTCGCAGTGTCGTCTGCCCCTCCTATACTTCCGGGAGTATTGCCCAGCGGCGTCGAACCAGCCCTTGGGCCTACTCCTGCTGCATGTGATGTATGAGATGCAGGAGATCCAGAGCTTGTTCCATCTCCGAATAAATCTTCCATCCGTCCACCACCACCGACACTGTTCGGCGTCCCGGCTCTCGAGCCTGATCGAGATCTCAGTCCCGTTGCAGACCTCTTTGTGGGGCTAAGAGATCCGAGGGAGACTGGAACTAGAGCTGGAGGGTAACGATGTTGCATTTGTTGTGGGTGTTGGGGCATAAAATACGGGCCGTTTATCATGTGCTGTGGTGGTAGCGGTGCTGAGGCATACCCTTGTTTTTTGAGATGTGCCTGTAATTGAATTGCGCCATGGAATCGTTGCCGTTCGAGTTGCCATTCCATATCAGAGGTAGTGGCGGCGGATGCAGAAACGTTCCGGGGAAGATTTTTCTGGCTCTGCATACTTTGGGAAACACGGGCTCCTTTCATCGTACTCTTGAAATTACCCGCAGCGTTCCTCTTACCCATATTTGCATTTGCATTCATATTCCTCATTTCTTCAGCAGTGACGTCTTCGCGGTACCTATTCCACAGACTGTACATCGATATGATCTCCTGCGCTATGGTGGCTATAGCAGAAAGCGAGACGTTGAGGTTTGCGAGAAAATCGATGGGGTCTTGTTGGTTTGCATGTTTCGATGAGGAATCACTGGTCCGCGACGAGCGTCTTGGATGTGGAGTTGTTTGGGATGGCTCGCCTGAATTTGAAGAGTCCGAGTTGAATGCAGGAGAATAAGGTAGTAGATGCGCGATACTATTCTGAGTGGGTGTATGAAGGACAAGAGTAAGATAGATGGCGGTCACGGCGATCAGATGCGGTGGATAGATAAGACATAGTTCAGAGCGATAGGTGTCGTTAATTATAAACCTAGAGGTGAACTTCTTAGTATCAAAAGAAACGTAGAGCAACGAGTATGTACCATGCGGTCTGTAAACCCCCCTCAGATAACTCCAGTTGTCCTTGGCCGGTACCCCAATACCTGGGGCCATCGTCGGCACCGATGCCCGTGCCCAGTTCGCCTGCTTCAGCTTCCTCCGCAGGAGAATCCGAGCTGGAATTGCTGTTACCAAAATCCTTGTTACACAAAGCAAGCAATGTTCGATACGGATGAAACACGATTAAGTCACACTCCAGATCGTCCACAAGATAAAACTCCATTTCTGCGAGTTTAGAGTTGTCAGAAGGGAAGTGCTTGACATTGTATTGTTCCTCTGTAACGTGTCATGTTCGGAATACCTCAGTACTCGTTCTTCGCGGAATAGAATGGTCAAAATCTCACGACTGAACAGCGCACGCGACTCGGCCACCACGTTCTTTATGTGTACTGGGGACTCTTCTGCCTTTGCAGCAACATAGCAGCACGCTGAGAGAACAAGATAAGGGTCCGTTTCGCAGTACGAGTTCTTCAGGTAGAATCTCCGAAAGAACACTGTAGCAGTGGCTATGACTCGTTGTCGAAATCCGAGTTTCTTCCCTAGCTTTGAAATGACTAGTCATATAAAATGAGATATTACAGCTAAGTGAGGGAGTTAATCACAACCTACTGTTGGCGAAATAGATGGCTAGAAATTCAAGACATTCTGGCTCTGAAACGTACACCAAATCGTCTGCGCGTGCTTGCTTCAATGTTGCCCGGTCGACGATCCAGCGTTTACTGAGCGCAGAAAGTTAAACAAGAATGTGGGGCCGTCGTATAGCGCTTTCTCACTAATGCGAGCTTGCCCAAAAGTCGGTGGCCATTAATTAGATGGTAGAGAAGGAGAAGGCGCGAAGGGTCACAAGCGATATACCTCACGATCGGTAAACTAGCGAATACCGGTAACAGATGCTGTTTTGCAAACTATTCAATACGGTGAGATGGCCGAGCGGTCTAAGGCGCCAGACTAAGGAGACCAACGTATTTGATGCGCACTGAAATCTGGTCACATTGTGGCGTGGGTTCGAATCCCACTCTCATCATTTTTACTGTTGCATTTTTTTGACGTTTTTGCACAAAGAAAATCCTTCAAAAAGTTTGCACCTGATTTTCTGAAAGTCCTCCAAAAAGTTTGCACCTGATTTTCTGAAAGTCCTCCAAAAAGTTTGCACCTGATTTTCTGAAAGTCCTCCTCCCTTTTGAGGGACAGTTAGTTATAAATCCGCTCTATGCGTAAACGCGTCGCGTCTCGAAGACGGGCATGTGTTTAATTGAACGCGCATACAACCGACGCGCCTCGGACACCGGCTAACAAACCTCTACGAGCCGGAACCTCGGCATAGAGGGGACGGGAGTAAAAATTCCCACTCGCGTTTCTCATTGGCGTGTGATTATCCGTGCTCACCTTAATAACAAGGGCGCTTGTGATTTGTCTGAACGCTTCTTGGATAGCTACCACCACCACTACCTCTTTATCTGCTCAATAATGTCCTCCGCAAGAGCCAAAATACTCGAGAAACACGATGACGACGTAGTTATCGTCTCAGCTATTCGTTCTGCTTTGACCAAAGTAAGAATTTGATCTTGAGAATGCTCTTCGACGAGGCTAATTCACTGTATTTGCTTCAACAGTCGAAGAAAGGCGGCTTCAAAGATACACGACCAGAAGAAATTCTCATGAATGTTCTCAAGCACACATACACTTCAACCAACCTCGACCCGGCACTTATCGAGGATATTGTTGTGGGTAATGTCCTTCCACCGTCTGGAGGAGCTAGTGCAGCACGTATGGCCGCTATTGCCGCCGGAATTCCGATTGCTACACCTATCACTACGGTAAATAGACAGTGCTCAAGTGGGCTTACGGCTGTCAGCCAAATCGCGAATGGTATCAAGTCCGGCCAGATTGATATTGGTATTGGTGAGCTTCTCTATATATCCTAACGGTTTTTCCTCGTCGGATAGACTAACACTATTTTCTAACTAGGTGCTGGTGTGGAATCCATGACATTTGGTTACGGCGCAGGCGCAATGCCAGACGGCTACTCTGACCTAGTCCTCGAAACCCAAGAAGCAGAAGATTGTCTTATCCCAATGGGTATAACCTCTGAAAACGTCGCTGCTGACTACAACATATCCCGGGAAGCCCAAGACACCTTCGCCGCCCTTTCCTTCCAAAAAGCCGCCGCAGCCCAAAAAGCTCACCTCTTTGACCCAGAGATCCTCCCTATCCGAGTTAAACAGGTTTCTCCTGATGGCGGCAAACAGTTCCTTGTCGACGCAGATGATGGGATTAGAGACGGGGTTACCGTACAGAGTCTGGGGAAACTGAAGCCTGCGTTCAAGAAGGATGGATCGACACATGCGGGGAATGCCAGTCAGGTTTCGGATGGAGCTGCCGCGGTGCTTTTGGCGAGGAGGAGCGTTGCGAAGAAGCTTGGGTTGCCGATTGTGGGTAAGTTTGTTGGCGCGCAGGCTGTCGGGGTTCCGCCGAGAATTATGGGTGTCGGACCCGCGTATGCTATTCCACATGTAAGCAAAAAAAATCCTTACCTCCTCCCTTCTCCGACTACAAAAACCCGACCTACCCCAAAGATTCTTGCTTACAACTCATATCACCTGGGGTCCTAACCTTATTCATAACCTTATACCACATAACTGATGTTCCTTCATTTTCCCTTTCCCAACTACTCAATGTAAATCAGGTTCTCAAGAAAACCGGTCTCGAAATGTCCGATATCGATTTCTTCGAGATCAACGAGGCGTTTGCATCGCAAGCACTGTTTTGCTGTGAGCAACTAGGCATTCCGTGGAAGGAAGCCGGCTTAATGGGGAAGGTCAACCGATGGGGAGGTGCGATCGCTATTGGGCATCCTCTTGGCTGTAGTGAGTGATATGTTTTCTTGTTTTTCTTGTTTCGTTTCGTATATTTTTTCCGGCTTCTTGGGATACCGGTTGTTTGCCTTTTTACCTGTCTCCTGTTCGTCATATGAGGTACATCACTAACTTTTGATTATCCATCCTCCTTCTTTCTTCTTCCCCACCCACCTCGTCCCATGACAATTACCTCACCCTACCCCACATCATGCATCATCTCTTTAACAACAATCAGCCGGTGCTCGACAAATCGCCACGGGTCTCAACATTGCCAAGCACGATAACGAGAAAGTGTTCGTGACGAGTATGTGCATTGGTAGTGGGATGGGAATGGCTGGTGTCTTTGTTAATGAGCAATGAAAAATCTACGTGAGTGTGGTGTGGTGAAATGGGTTGAGTGGATGGACTTGCATAGCTCCGTATCGGATTGATTAATAAATGACCAATGTACCTAGTTATGTATGTAGAGCATGTTATCTGTATTCCGTTGTATCTTCTTGCTTTGATAACAAGGAATGAAACGGAGTAGTTTCAAGAAATGTTTGGATGCATCAAATCCTAAGAACGAAGCTAATCAACAGAGGCGTCGTTTCTATCGCTGCTTGATAATCGGACGAGTTGTAGTTGGCTTAGCCACTGCTAGTTTTGAACAAGCGAACTGACTCACTCAAATTTCAGTATTTTTCTTATTCCTCTTACAGGATGTTCAAACACCGTTACAAGCAAGGTGATAGTGTTACTGTGGTAGGGAGGGAGCAAAGGGAAAGGGAGGGGAAGGCTGGGGAAGGGTGCCCACTGCCACCTGGCAAATTGCCTCAAATTGCGAGTCGCTTGAGGGAAGTCGACATTAAATTATATCTGCATATCACAGCCTCAATGGGAGAAGATTTTAGCAGTGAAAAACTCAACGTCAACCCTGGCTCAATCTTCAACGTATTTTCCATCTGTCTACCACCAGTGTGGTACGTCCCAATGTTGCACTGTTTCTCCTGGGTTCCAATTTCTAACGTTAACGGCTGTAGGGCATATTACAGCTCAAAACCCCGCCGCATTTGCACTGGCACTTACGTAGATTCGCTGGTCGAATCTGCTGGCACTTGTATCGTTTGTTTGTAGTCGCTTCAATACTCGTTATTTCCGTTGTATGTTTGTTGTCGATTCCAGGTGCTTGTTGACTGACTAGGTATTTCCCAGCAACAACTGGTTTGGCTTCTCGAACTTCTCGAACTACTATCTAGTATCGCTCCAAGCTCTCCCCGTTTTTCCCGTCGAATCCTCGTAAGTTTCTACATTCGTATTTGGATCTTGTTGAATTGCTCAACTTATCTCTCGAACGCTACCTCTTTTTGACCCAAGTTCGAACCTTGAGCTCACGTCCGAAGATTCTCATCCTACTACGAATCGCTTGATATTTCTCTCATCAACTCCTCTCTATTCCAACGTTTCTGTCCAGGGGCCTCTCGTTAACATCCAAAGCATCATAGCATGCACTTATTTCCATTTCTCCCGGTTGGGTTGTTTGCTACGCTCCTCTTGTTTTTAACACTTCCAGCTGGTGTCTTTCCATCTCCAGTAAACCTTCGCCCTCGCCCTGACAATCACCCCGGACTCAGTGAAATCTCGCAACCTCAACACCCAACAACAAGTCCAACAAGTAAGAGTTCTTTCAATCAATTACTTGGCAGTAAACATACCCAAACTCACTATTTCCATTATTCCCTTTTCTTTTTCAGAAACTCCTGCCTTTGAGGTATTGGAATTTCATTTGATACGCCAAAAGAGTGCGGGTGAGGCGGTTCTCAAAGTCAACACTCCCGCCCCCCACGTTGATTCCTCTGAAACTTGGACGTTGGCTGTAATGAACCAAACGGCGACCAACCGCGACTCGGGGTTTCGAACAGAACCAATTGTGGGGGGTACCGCGGGCGGTACATCTCCAACTTGGAAAAGTGCAGTCCGCGGCAATCGCACTGGTGTTTTTGTCATTATATCACGGAACCCTCCGGTATCGAAGATCTTGGGAAGAGCCAAAGCGACATTAACAGGGAAGAGAAAAATCTTCCGCAGCTGTAGAGATGTCGATGCCAATCAGCCGAATCTTCTGTATTTGGATTCGCTGTTGTCAGCGCTGAAGAAAATGGAAGATGAGGAGGGGATAGCTGATGTGGATTTGGACCTGAGCTTGGATGGGGAGTGGTTGCCTATGATGAAGGAGATGATTATAACAGCTGGCAGTGCGGCAGGTCAAAAGGTCACTGGCCAGGATTGGGAGCGGTACAAGAAAGTACTAGAAGAGCCTCGGTTTAAGTTCGAGCCGCAGTCGCCGCCGACTAAGGCTTGGGAAGAGGCAGCAGAAAAGAGAATTTTGGGAGATGGGTTTAAGCTCGAGAAGTGATGAGGATTTTGGAATACGACATGTGGTGAACGTTAAAGCATTACTATAGGTTGTACGCATGCTTTTCCCGTTACAGAATCTCCCTCGTTTCTCTCCGTAGGTTTTCTCTGTAGTTTCAGATATCCACTGATTGATTCACATCCAGGGGGCGGGCAGCGGAGTTTTCCGTGAAATCAACTGGTGCAGACCCCCCCGTGTGAACTTTGAGTTGCCGACAGCGGCTAGCATTGGCTGTCTTGATTCCATTGATCTGTCTGCAGATAGATAGATAGATAAATACGCGGCTCCGTCCGAAGACGGGGTCCCACAAGGGAACAGCCGGGCCCACTGCCTCCACTACAGCGAATGCTCATGCCACATGGTCATGGTAGACTGCAGCAAGTACAGTGGGGAAGTTACATGACTGCAGGTACACTAACATAGCTACTTGAATGTAATGTAGGAGTTGGGTACTGAAGGTGTTGTGAAATGCAGATGTAACCAAAGGGTCAGTTCATTTGAGGCCTGAGGTCCAAAAGCCCCATAGACGAAGCAAATTCCCCTATGGTCCAGTCTGTCCAAAGACGGTTTTTGATGGCCACCTCAGGATGATAACTGTGATGAACTGCAAAGACATAAATGTTCAATATAACTGCGGAAAACTGTGTAAATGAAGTGGCGGTGGGGAGATGGCTGGCCGGTAGCTTCGGCTTTGGTAATATGAAGTCACACGGTGGAATGGAGTGGAGTGGTGGAGTAAGTCAGACATGACTTCTCGAGCTCAAGTGCTATAGTGAGCAGCACTGAGCAGTTGTGCCATTGCAAAAGGTCACAGGTATTGGTGGTCATGGGCAGAAAAGAGTAGATGATAGTAGGCCGGTGTGCATGTGGCTGAAGATTGATGGGGTGATAGGCAAGACCGTGGGGTGATAGTCACAAAAGGTGAAAAAATGGCGACGAGCGAGGGCAAACATCCACCAGCGGCAAGCAAATAAGTATGTCCAACGTTGATGAATAATAGCCTAGTTGCAATGATGTTAGCAAGATAACTGGTGGGGAGAACGCACCATTTCCTTCCATTTTCTTTTTAGCGCCTGTGAGAAGATGGTGGTAGGAACGATGAACAGAAAGTGCAGTGTGCACCGTCGACGACACCTTTGTTCTCCTTGTTTTCCCTTTCATATCAATACATTCTTCCTTAAATCATCATTTTCTCTTTGCTATTATAATGGGCCATAAACAAGCACCTACAAGACATGCATCTGTAGTAATCATTGTCAATAATGGGCTTGCTATCTATTATCTATACAATGTTCCACCATTCAGAACAAAATACCCTGTGATACTTATACAAAGAGGAGATAGGCAGGTACATACAGCAGAGTGCCCAGTTCAAATAAGAGTCCTTATTGCTTACAGTCTTTAGAGGTTCACGCTGGGTTCATTGCACCCTGATCGCACCAACGCGCCGAAGTTCTGATGCCATGTTGCCGTGGCTGGCAAGTCAAAGTTCGCACGGGGGGGTCTGCACCAGTTGATTTCACGGAAAACTCCGGTGCCAGCCCCCTGTTCACATCCATGAACTTTGTTTGCTCTGAGGATTTGATGCGCCCAAACATATCTATACGCCAATTCCAAATTGTTATTGATCCTTAGTGCCGCGCTGGCACGGCAAGTCCCCGACTTAGGCAGCTTTTGGGGTTTGAACCCGAAAGGTTGGGACTTTGTGCAGGTTTCGCCCTTGCAAAGGGGCTCATCAGAGGGCTTAACCGCTGCCCTAACCCGCCGGTTCTACTTTGCAATGATAGATCATGACTCCCTATTCACGGGGTGGAGTATGCCATGTGGTGCCGTCCACATGGTTACCCGATCCGATTTGCAACATCGGCATAGCATCGGGGACCACGGCATATGTGTAGGTATTTTGGTGTGGGGGATGGATCTGGGGGGCACCCTCCCCATTAAGCCAATATCAGAGTGCCTGCCACACAGCTTTGATGAGAGGCCGGTCCATGGCCACCTGACATAAGCCAGGTGGACTTTTGTGTCCGTCTATCTGTATGTAGCCCAAATATAGCCGCTTGCCTATATTTGTCAACTAGTCTGGCCGTCTCCGAAGATAAGGCGGAATAAGTCATACAAAGTCTGAACATCAGTATGGTACGACGTAAGAACAAATCACTTTTCAATGTGCATCCGGAGTAAAAGTATGGTTCATTTGTGTAGTTACATATGGAAAGTTGTTGTTTGCTGGAATAATGAGACATGTATACTTATTTTATGGTACGAAATGTTTACATCGTATTGAACTGTTGATATTGAGATAGACGTAGATCGCGTAGCATTGCTGTACTTGAAAATCATCCAGTGTTCAAGTCATGTACGTTACCCAGCGTTGATCATAAAATCGTATTTGAGGGAGCTTGCTTTTGATAGTGATTTGTCCGGATTTTGGTTTGAGTGTTGAAAGCATAGCTTGGAGATGGTTGAAACATTCCGGAGGCAAAGAGGATCACACTTATTGGGAGTCAGTTATAGTATCGAATCCTATGATATCAGTGAACTGCCCTGAAATTTTGCAAAAGATTTTTCAGTGATGACTGAAGAAGGTACAGCCTTGATAGATATGCACATACATATGTTATTGATTTATTTTGGATGGTTGTTCTTTGATTTGATTTTGAGTGTACAATCAAGACATTAGTATAGGTAAGGTATTATCTAGTGAACCTGTTGTTATGTTAGCTACTACTCATTCAAGGAGGAGAGAAATCACGTACTTTCAAGCAGTAGCTGCACTTAAAAGAATCGGTTCAACGATCGTGGCCCAGACGACGGGCCAGCTTTGAGGAAATGTGAATTTCTCTATGTGTCTTCATTGACCTATCTGTTAGGAATAAGACAAAATGAAAACATAAAATAATGATGCGACTTACAAAGATAACAGTATGCTCGCGGCCGGTCGGTGCATCCCGTTTCCAACATTGACTGTGCTAGAGCCTCTGGTATGCGAATTGGATGTACCGAAAGTCGTTAAATGCAGAACTCACCTGCTCTATGTATGCCAATTAGAGACACTGACTAGTGGCAGCCGTACTCTGGACAGATCGGGGCAATCTTGAAACATCGACGGTAACGAGCTTGCCTCGTTTTTGTGTGAAAGAGAAAGGAAGGAATCTAATGGGCACTCCAACCAACCAATCTAAAACACAATATGCGAGTTCACTGCTATCAAATTTATTTAATAGCAAGGGGTAGCATTGGCAAAGGTTCCGCAAAGCTTTGAGAGCTAAGTAAGAAGCTTCGATCAATCAATTTGAATCGTTCTAAGGATTTGATATATTCCTTTGATTAAGGTAGATTCAGCACAATTTGTGCTTTGATTGTATTGATATGGGTATATCAAGAATTGGGGGTTTGAATCAAAGTAAATTAAAAACTGAAACACACAGACCCCTACGGAGGGCTAGAACTATGTGCTGGCACAACCACACAGCGTGATTTGCCCTTAAGACCAATGACTGATCCTAAGTTCAAAGAGTACCCAACAGCTGGATATACTTCTCGCAGTCACAAGGAGCAGAACACGATGTTCCTATACTCACAAGTGCCAGGCCCGAATGGCTGCTAGCAAAGAGGTTTCAGTCTGGCAGGAGTGTATCTTTCCTTTTTATGGATTAGCACTGCAACGTCGTCCCAAAATCACTTGTATTCCAGATACATTGGATCGCTATTTATATATACAGAATATCGAGTCGCACAGTACAATTAATTTAATACAATAAACGTTCGGAACCACAAGGAAACTTCTACAATCAGTCAGATACCATTTAATTTGAATCTTCATGTCCTTATTTGGTCCATAATGGTTCCAAGATTCTAGTATACCTCCAAACATAGGTAGGTACTTCAATATTCATTTAATTTAATTGTTTTGGAGAATGACTTGAATGGTGTTCAGCTGTCATTGCTGTTCAACACTTACTTCAATCGTTTGTCACCTCATCCGGAGACAAATCAGCTCTCCTCGATTCTAATCCTATTAATCTGATTAATCTGGATTAAACTAATTGCTTCTCTGTTAAGATCATGTACACCGTGTAACCGTGCCAAGGCCACAGGGTGTCTAAGTGCGGAAGACGAATGGGACAGTAGTGAAGTTATTAACAACACCGCCGTTACGCCGTTAGTCCCCGGAGAGCGAGAGTAGAGAGAGAGGAGCTAAGTAGCAGCCAGGTCAGAGCGGCGGTATCGCCGGTGACGAGGAGCGGACCAGAGAACGTTAAAGTCCTAAGGTCGAGGAGAACGTACTTCGAGGCGTTGAGCCTGAAGACTTAGAGAAGAGTTAAGTTGAGAAGGGAGATCTAAGTTGATAATTAAACTGAGGAACTACAGTAGCGTACAGGCAGTATTTATATCTACGGAACGGCGCATCGGTGCGGAGCGCCAGACTAACTACTAGGAGCTGTACGAGTAGTACCTGCAGGGTAGAGTAAAAGACAATAAGAAGGGACCAGAACGAAAGGGTATGTGTAGCGAGAAAGAACAATAAGAGTGAGATTACAATAACGAGTGGATCTTCGGAGTACCGAGCGGCGGAATGGAGGCCCGCGGCATGGACTTGACAGTATCCCCCTCTTAGGCTTGAGCCCTCGAAAGCCATTAATACCGGTAGTTGGTTAGTCACCAAAGAAAAATTTCAAAGGCCGTCAGGATCGGGGATTTGGCCCATCAGTCAGCAGGAGAATTTTCAAAAGCCGTTAGTACCGGGAATTGGCGTTAGTCATCAGTGAAAATTTTCGGTTCACCGTACACCCCGTACAACTCGAAGGAAAATTTTCGCTGGTCCGTGCGCAGTTTTTGTCCTATAAAAGGCCCAGGGTTTTGCCGCTAAGGCCCTAACTCTCTCAAAATCTTCTAAGTCCACAAACATGACGATCAGCCGAACCACCACGACCACCCAACCCTCCGCCAGTACCTCTTCTCGCCCCGCCGATCCTCCGAGTCCCGGCGCCCCTATCGACGAAGACGAAGACGAAATCATCAGGGAGGCCCTTGCGAGGGTTGAGAGGGTGAAGGCGCGGAAGGCAGCGGAGGCTGCTAAAAGGAAGGCAGCGGAGGAGGCAGCTGCTAAGAAGGCGGCAGAGGAGGCGGAAAAGAAGAAGCAGGCGGCGGAGCGAGCGGCGGCGGCGAGATGCCAAGCTGCTCAAGATGCTCGCGATCGGGCCGTCCGGGCTCGAGAACAA